TAAAATTAGGATATTAGGAATCCTTGATTCAGGAAACCAGAGTCCTGGAAACTCAGCCACTGCCACCTGCTTGTCCGAAGGTGTCTGGGGGGGGTCTCCTCCTCAGGGACCCCTTGCCTCAGGCTGGCCTAAGGGAATCGGCTCTTCCTGCTGGGGGAAGAGGGGGAGAGGGAAGACGAGACTGGCCACTTTTCTTTTCTTCTTTCCATATCCTCTTGCCATTCAAAGACTTGCTCTTTCCTTACAAACTCATTTGCCCTGAAATTGAAGCTAGTGCTCATGACTCTAATTTATTGGGATACGTTGGGAAGAATTGCTCATCTGGAATTTGCAAGTACACCTGTCCACTGGCTTTGTGTGTGGTGGGGGCCGGGGTGGGGGAGGTATCACCTTGCAGAATCCTGTGATTGGATCTAGATGAGCTATTTTTCAATATTAGCATAACATATTACTTGGTGAACGTTAAATAATGGTAATTAAGAATTGAGACCATTTTTATTGCAACATTTATTTTAAAGATGAAGCAAAATAAACATTGACTAGGTCAATAGCTTATGTGACCATGTAGTGACAGTTTAGGAATTCTTAGAATTTCTAGTTTTTCGTGCTCACTTTTCTACTGAATTGTTACCATAGTTGGCATATCCTCTCATTTCTTGATTTAGGGCTTTCTTAGAAGTGGCTTCAAGAAGGAAAGTTAGAAAGACCGAGAAGGACGTGCTGCTTCGTCAGCATCCATTCGTTCACCACTATGCACCACTGTCTAGCTCAGTGCCTTGCATTCATTAGGTGCTCACTAAACTTCTTAATGAATTAGTGAATGAGTTAATGAATGAATTTAATTGCTGAACCAGATCCCTCTCCTGTTACTGGAAGTTTTCTGTCCTTAATTGCTCTTTTTTTTTGTCCTTCCTCAGTTGGAATTAACGACCTCTGGAAAGATGCCTTTTATGTTACCAGGACAACAGGACCAAGTTCCGAAGGCCACCCAGCACCGCTGGTGGTCAGCAAGCTTAGTCTACGGTGGGCAATGATGGAGGGCCAAGTGGTCCAGCTAAAGGAGTCCACCCCCAAAATTGGCCGTGGGGAGCTGCGAAGATTCTTCTCTAGGATAAAGTTTGTTGATTCCCCCTACCAGGTGAATAGCTTCTGAAAGAAATATTGGGTCACTGTTGAGGGTTTAGGACAAGTACTACCAACTCCAGCTTTGCTCTATAGAAATTAGGGAGAGTGGAGCCTTCTCGAGTAGCTGGGTATCAAGAACCAGTTGTTTGAGACCAGCGCTGTTTTCTAAGGGTGCTTCATGACCATTAAGAAATGGTAGCATTTCCCTTGGTACCTACTTCCTAGCGGACATTTGGAAATGTGGGGTCATGGTTTTTATTGTCCCAGTGACTGAGGAGGGTGGATGCACTGGATTTTCTGGGTAGGGGCTAGTGATGCTAACGTCATGCAGGGCTTGTGGCAGTTACATCTTACAAAGAATTATCTTGCTCAGAATGCTAACCCTCCCTGCCCCCTAAACACTAGGGTCTAGTTCAAGAGATTATCATGGAAAAAGATAAGTCTCTGGATCTTTCTGGAGGGACACTTACAAACTGGTGGGGCTAGATAAAGGACAAGAAAATAAAGGAATATTCTGACCTTTAGGTTTCCTCCATGTGTCTACCATGAAGAACACTGAAGTCACTGATACTTGCTCCTTTTCCCCCTAGCTCTAGCCTGATGGGATCCTCAGTCTCAGAAGTGAACAGAATGGTACTGTCTCTCTCCTGTGTAAAATCTGTTCTTTGGAGAGAAGACTTCTTCAACCTCACCTCGCCACCTCTGCGTGATGGTTGCACAGCACTTTGGAAGGCATGCTGGACTTGATGACGGCACGATCCCCTTGGCGGGGATGTCTTACCTGCCTTTTCAATCCCTGCATTAACACCCCCTAAGCACTCTGTATGGATAGTTTGGAAATGTGAATCTTATAAGGGTTTTATTTTTTTGTGTCTAATTTATAAACTCTTGCTGGGAAATTCCAGTGGAGTTCACTGGAACATTTTGTTTTGCAATATGCCATGTGTGTGTATTTTTTAGTGTCTTGATGAGAAATATTTTCTAGATATGTCCTAAGCTCCAGGGACCCAGTTTCTTGTCCTTCTGAAATATATCTGCTTTGTTTGGTCATCTTGATTCTTCCAGATGGCCTTCCTTGGATTTTGAGGGCCAGCCGTCATTTCTCTCCTTATCCTCTGCCCACCTGTCCCTTGGCTTCTTGCCAACCAGAGCAGCAGTGAGAGAGACTGATAGTGGGGGCCAAGTTCGCCCTCCCAGCGTCTTCATCTTTCTTGTCTTATGCATCCTGTCTTTTCACACCTTCCATCTCTATGTATTTAGTGACCATAGATATTCCTATGAGAAGGGGACGAGCAAGAGAAATATAATTTATATGACCCACCTGTGACAAGGTTGTATGTTATCATGTGTTTTGATTGTTCTGCCTTTTTACTGCAGTAACTTCAGAAGTGCTTATGTGTGTGCCCTCCTCAACTTGGAGAACTGGGAGTCAGGACCGTTGAGGCAGCTGTCCGTATCCTGCTTCGTCTCTGCTCTGCTTTCTTAGCGTCTTATCCTATGGGGCATCCTCCTTACCTAAGCCTCTCATTTTGCTCTCTTATTCAGGGATATTTTTGCTTTGCTTGCATGAGAGCAGAGCTGTTTCTGGATTTTACTCTTGCTCCTTAAGTCCAGTATGCAGCCATTTTTCCCTGCACAGCTCTTTCCTGGTAGAGCCTTTGAAGCATTGTATTTTGAGAAAATTCCTCTGTAACTACTATAACTTTTACAATTGGTTGAGTTCTTTAGAATGATCTCCAATGCTTACTTCTTCTGTATAAATATGTTACTTCTATTAAGTTCTCTCCTAAACTTCCAAGTCATTGTAGCAGAAAATCCCACGTTAGCTGGTGGAGAACTGCTTTTCTTCTTGAATAATTTTGATATGTCATCTCTGAGTGCAACTCAGGTTCTCTCTTTACTTGAGCCTGTATCTTTTTAGCTTGTGTTAAGTAAAGGAATCCAGGAAATTTCAAGATTACAGAAAATTAGGGATCCCAAATTGAAAGGGCTATAGTTGAATTGCCCACTGGAAGGCTTCACCACATAGTGAAAGGTTGGCAGCAATAGCTCCTCGCAAGCCTGTTGCCTGGCCTGCAGGTGGGCCTTCCAGGTTTCTGGGCACCCCCGCCTTAAGTCCCTGAAAACAAATTTGGTTTCAACACCTTGGAAGGCATGTGTGGGTCCAGCTCATTGTAAACTTGGGGGGAAAATTAGAGGATGCCCGAGTGTGGGCATGGTTCCAGTTTCACTTCTAGATTTGAAGCTCCCTGGGCAGAAGAGCCTAGGATCTAGTTTGCTCTAGTAGAGAATTCTAAGGACTAATTTGTAGTTGAGTGAATACCTGAAATGTGGCTGCTGGTGCTGCGGCCTGGGCTGAGCCATCTAGGCTTAAAGCTGGTTCTCTGCCACGTTGAGGCTTTCTGGGAAGCCAGTTACTTTCGGCAGGAATAAAATGCACAGTAAAACAATGCCTGGTTTCGGGGGATTGTTTTGGGCAGAAGACTGTGTTTATGCTGAGTCCCAGAATACCTAAGAAGCTGCTAGAAAAATATAGTGTCCCTGAATTCTTCATGGTGCGTTTGCAAACTAAACAACATAGATTGTTTTGACTATGGTAAATTTGAGTCGCTCCTTCCTAGACACGGTACACGCTCTGGGTTTCTTCTCCCTCTTGCAGGCAGTACAGAGGGTGTAAGTGGTGGCTGGGGACTGCGGAAGCTTCGTCTGACTAGTGTGGGTGCTGCGGTCTCTTGTCAAAAGTGTCCCTAAACTTCCTTCCCTTCTCAGGCAACCGCTCAACCAGATGTCTGAGGTAGGAAGTGCTCCTTTCTTCCCACTCCCAACATGGGTTGCCAGCAAAGCCAATATGACCACTACTTAGAAATAGTCATGGCTTCTGCAAATGCAAGGGTCATCCTCCTCCCCTCTCTCCTCTCTCCTCCCCTTAGAAAACTCCTCTGCCCTAGACAGCATCTGCCCCCTCCCCCAGATGGTCTCTCCTCACCCTTCTAGTGTGGTATGGGGATACCAACCCCCTTGAATGTGAATTGCTGTCCTTACTGCCCATATTAAAGAAGAGCCTGCTGGTATATTGTCAGGAAGCACTATTTAAAATGTGAATTGTTACAGAACAAATAAATACTACACACAGGAACATGCTTGTGCCATTCTCATTCTTCTTAGTCATCTGGGATGGCTTGTTTTCCCTTATGGAGCAGAGAAAGGGCGAGTGGATGGATGAGAAGGTGGGGACCCAGAAAGGAGTGCGTGACGCAGCCTTGTTCCCTGGGGAGTCTCTGGTATGGTTCTCCACCGGGGAACCCCAGTCCCGTCTGAGTAGCCTCGGTGGGCCATTTCTGGACGTGGACCTGTCCCTGCGTGCTCTAGGGGCCATCTCATGTACAGTAGCCTCCTAGTGGCTTCTAGGATCATATTTAATTAAACTTGCATCAGGTACCTACTGTGTGGATGCAGGACACTAACAGGCAGTGTGGAGGACATCTGTCCTCCGTGTCAAAGCTCCTACTGGTAGTGCCTTCATCTTTCATTCTGTGACTTCCAGGAAAATTCAGGTACACCATGGAAAGCTGAACCACAGTCAACTACCATTGATTTGCCCACCTCCATTCCTCCCGATCCCAGACAGGTGACCAGACTGAGAAGCCCCTGAAGGGCAGAGACTGTATTTTACTCCTCTTTTTATCTCCATTGCTTATCCCAGAACCCGGCTCACAACAAGCAATCCATAAAGGAGGGAGAGGATTTTGAACGTGTGAGATATGGGGGATGGCGAAATGACACAGCCGTGGGGCAACAATGGTGCCAGGCACACACCCCTTTACCGTAAGATACCCTTGTTCTTAGCCTCTAAACACCATGCTCAAGAAACAGACTTCGGCTTAAGCACATGTTGATAACACACACGTAAGGTTGGGCTCAGCCTGCTCTCCAAACACACTTACTCCTAACACTGTTCTTCCTCTACAGATGACCCAGGCACCTCTTCTTTTAGTTCCTGGCTGGTCCCTTGTCGAAATCCCTTGTTGTGTAGCTCTGAGTAGAAGTCAACGCCTTCAGAGACAGAGCGGATGGGCTGATTGTGATACTGGTGGTAGCCGGTCAAAGGCCCCCCCGGGTGGGCTGCACTTGACAGTTGCTGAAGGCAACACTGGTGGTGATGTGGGAGGGCGCTCAGGTTTCCTTTGAGGCTCTTACTGTGCTTGCACTTGAACTCCAGCACCAGCCTGGTGTATGTGTTGAAGGTGGTGACAGCCGATGCCATGCAGCAGGTGAAGGAAAGCCAGGCCATGCTAAGGACAAATGCACACACACACAAAACGCGCAGTAAGAATCTGACTTTCTCACAGGTTTGAAAGAAGAATACCACGATCCCTTCTGACTAGTAAACTAGGCTGATTCTCTTACGGATTTAGGACTTGAGTGTGCTCTTGTCTACCATGTTGCAGGTAAAGAACTGTGGACAAGAGGACTTAGTTTGGTCTGTCTCAGGTTCCATTTGGAACGTTCCAGAGTAAAAGAGAGTGACTCGTGTAGTGTTAGTCAGACTAGGAGTTTAACGGATTTGTTTTCACTGAATTGATTAATTATCAGTGCTGTGTGCTCTTTGATCCCTGGTGTGCGTGCACACAATTCTTTGGACCACTGTTTCCCAAGCTGCAGTTGCCCAGTGTAATCCCCAAGATTCCAAGACCTGTAGCTCAGCCGTGAACAGTGGACACAGCCCAGTGTACTATCATCTCCCTCCCCCCTCTTCAAGGTTATTCTCCTTTGCTCAGGTGCAAGGAGTGAAAATCCCTCTTCCATCTTTGTTTTAGGGTTAGCAGTCTTAGGGTCCACAAAGCTGAGCCCGAGAGTCGTTCAGGAAACATTTACTACAAATATGAAGGTATAGTTTGTCCAAGTAGAATTTGCCTATTATGAAAACAATGTGGGCGGCCAGCCCGGTGGCGCAGTGGTTAAGTGTGCACATTCCGCTTTGGCGGCCTGGGTTCGCCAGTTCGGATCCTGGGTGCGGACATGGTACCACTTGGCACGCCATGCTGTGGTAGGCGTCCCACATATAAAGTAGAGGAAGATGGGCACGGATGTTAGCTCAGGGCTAGTCGTCCTCAGCGAAAAGAGGAGGATTGGCAGCAGTTAGCTCAGGGCTAATCTTCCTCAAAAAAAACAAAAACAAAAACGAAAAACAATGTGGTTCTTGGCTTCAGGGAGTTTATAATGGATGGAAGAGAAGCCGGAGATTAAAGAGACACTGGATGGATTCAATCAAGAAAACAAACACATTCCTAAACACTTGGAAAGTCAAAGCCCTAAATCTCCCCATGATTCTGGGAAGCCCAGGAAACAGGAAGTGGTGTGAGGTTAGTGAGGGATTTCATGAGGCCGAGTGATGGTTAAAGCCAGGCCACAGGCTGGTACTGCGTGTTCCTATCTGCTGCCTCTGACAGACTACGTAGGCGCAGGCTGAGGAGACTTCTGAGGAGAGTTTTATGGTCTGAGCGTTGCAGTTGCAATGCCAAGAAGGGCCTGAAGATAGATAAAAGGTGAGAAATGATGAGTCTGGAAAATGAGCTCAACTGATACAGTGGCTGGTGGAGGAGATCAAAGGCCCCTGAATCAAACAGCACATATTATACCATGAGAAAAGGGGATGGGGTCTCAAAACTGCCGTGTATTGCCTCTGTTAGCATGGAGACTCCAGGCCAGCACTGTCTTTTCTGCACGTCAAAGTACTTAGCACTTATCCCAGGCAGTTAATATAAGTCCAAGTTGGCACCTATGCGGTGGAGGGAGTGGGGCCCTCAAGGGAGCAAGTGAGGAACTCTTAAAGGGCGTGTCTATCTTGAATGTGTTTGTTTTGTCATGGTTGTCGCTTCTGTCTTTTTAAGAGAAAATATAAAATAACTGGTCCCTTAGTTCTTGAAGGGTTAGAGAATGACTGGTAGGGGAGGTTTTATTTCTAAGTTTATTTCTTATTTCAGTGGAATGAGAATGGAAGTAGGTGGAAGTTACTCTTTGTTACAGGGGAAGAGTAAGACATTCACAGGCAATAGAAGTCAGTCCAAATTTCAAGGCTAATTCTCCATTTCTCTGTCCTCCAATACCTTGAACCATAAAATCTATAAAATAGAGAGCATCATTTTAAGCCAAACAAAATCAGTCTTGTTTCCTGACAGCAACTACATAGCAGGTGAAGAAGCAGTTGCTACAGCTGTATCAGCAGAAAAACTGGAGACAACCTCCTCACAAAACAAGCCAAAGGCATCCTCTCTGCACCTCCTCAGAAGGTGGGGAAAGAGTGGTGGTGGCCTGATGGCCCAGCCCGCTGACTGACTGACAGACTCCTGAGATGAGGGGTGAAGAGAAGGCAGAAGAACACAGAGCCAGCATCTAGAGAGTACCAGATCTAATGAAGGTTGGCTGGGGAAGGGGCGAAAAGGTTCAGGAGATGGCAAGCACTTACTAGAAGGCCCAGCCATAATTCCAAGAGTGTGGCCTCCAGTCTTCTGGACCCAAGTTGGCAGTTGCCTGGAATACTTGTGAATACATCATATGGGCCACCATTCCCAGAAGACCTAAGGAGGGAACAGGAAGGCAGTGCCCTTAGAGAGAGGCTGGCATTGCCATTGACAGGGAGGATGATTTTGGAGCAACCTCCTCATTTTGCCTCAGGTACAGGCTGCGTTGAGGCGTCTCATGACCCATATGCCACCATTCCCAGGGAGACAAATCTGCAGTGGGGGCTTCTCCTTGACTCCAGAGCTTTGCAATAGGGTCCCCCAGACTCCAGGTTTAGAGCGATGGAGCAAGTTCCTGAGTCAATGCTGCACCCAGGGCTGCTGCTCCCTCTGACTTCTTCCCACCCGTACCCACGGTGTGAGCCTTATTCTTGATCTTTCATATGTATCATACTTTATCCAACAGTGTGTTGAAAAGCTGTGGGTGTGTCACAACTGACAAGTAAAACTGTATTTTACCTAGGGCGAAAACTTGCAAATAAAAGGAACCTAGAGATAATTTTTTTGCAAAGTACATAGTATACTTTGCAAAATATATATATATATATGATCTAATATAAAGTTTTCCATGTTACTTCAATTTAAAATTAAAGATGCTATAATGTACTTCTACCTCCATTCATTTTACTGCCTCTCGGCTTCTCCTTCCTCCCCTGGGGACAGAGGCTCAAGCCATCCCGCTTGGGCTTCAAAGGCAGCCGAGGAAAGCCACTCTCTACAGCTCGAAGGTGCTCACCTGACAGGACAGAGGAGATGGCCGCAAAGGCGCTCAGCTTGAGGCCGCAGCCAGGGTTCCTTGTGAACAGCAAGTCCGTTAGTAGGAGGAGGAAGCTGATGAATTCAAGTCCAATGTAGGTGAACTGGGCTCCCAGTGATAACCATAGGATCTCTGTCAGAAACCAGAGGAAGAAGAACCCGCACCCTGACAGTTAACAAACGGGGAACAAATGATGGCTGTGAGAAGTGAAAAGCCTTCTGAGCCAGAGAAGGGGAGAATGAGACAGAGCTGAAAGCGGCTGGGGGCGTTCCTTAATTTGGGCTTCTTTCTTCTCACCCCACAGCTCCCACTCTGCTCAGTATCCAATATATCATCAAGTAACCTCGGTGGACTATAAATACTCTTAGGGAGACTTGAGAAGAAATCATCCAATTGTCATAAAATCTGGCAGGGATGTAACTTTGCTATTTATCATTTTTGTTTCTCTTTTTCCTTATTTAACTTTGGAACAATCAGTGTTGTTTCCTTTCTCCCTCCCTCCCTCCCTTCTATTTTACAGAAAAAAAAAAAATTATTGGAGAAAAAAAAGGAAAAACTAAGCTTTCAACATGGTTCCTTGGCAACAAGAGGAGGTTAGAGCTGTCGGTGGTTTTCTGTTTGTGAACTGTATTTGTCCCTGCTGTTCCTTTTTTGCATCCCTGCGTATGAATGAAAGTCAGCTCTGGAGGGAGTTTGTGTCACCCTGTGGGGCTCAGAAGAGAAAAGCAGGAGATCACAGTACAGTTTAGATCCAGAGAGGCCCAAGTCAACAGTAATGAAATTTGTTATCAAGCCCACATACTTGCCACAAGCCCCAAGGGAGGGTGGGGGAGGAAAGCCTTCTCCATCAACCGCTTCCCTCCAAATCGGAGAGCGGCGTGACGTAGGCCTTGCAACGTGGCAAATTCCAGTAGTCCCTTCTCACCTCTCTCGGTTGGTGGTGTGAGTTCATTGAAACTTCGGCACCTCTCCCCTGAAACACAGACAAGGTACCACTTCATGAAGGCGCTTCCTGGGACAACGGGGATGAAGACTTTCCCCGATCCCATACCTGGCGCGGCTCCGTTTGTTGTGACACAGTGCCTGCCCAGCATATAGCAGGCAGACAATAAATGGGTCTTTGAAAGCAGGAAAGAATGCGTGGATGAATGAGTGGCATCAGCAAGAGTCATCCAAGATTAATTTCTCTCTCCTCAATTCCTGATAACGAAGGAGATCCCGTTGTCCTGAGTGTGCCTACACAGGGAAACCTTCCAGTTCCTGTGTCGGGAGGCGGTAACGGTCTTAGTGATCACCAATACCTTCTGCTGCCCGCACCACTGCTCTGAATGGCTCGGAAATGGTTTCCGGGACTGGGGTTGGAGCCATGCTAAGTGGCACAGTAATAACTTAAATCTGAATCTAAATACACACGCATTTATATTCCTTTTCCTCCTTTTCCCCTAAGCCCAAATGGGCAGAAGTAGCAGATCACAAATGGTACATGATTCTGGGCTGCAGAAAACCCTTACTACCAGGTGACCTTTGAAGGCTTTGAGCAGGGAGGGGTTGTCCTCAGTCCAGTTGCTCCTAACCTGAGGACTGCACGGTAACTAAGGCACACTGACCCAGTGCAGGAGAGCTGGGAGGGTCTGTCTTAAGCTCCTGGAAGACGTCCTCACCGATCTAGTCGCCCTCTCTGGGCTTCAGTTCCCCTCCCTTTGAAAGTGTAACAATAATACTTTGAATGAGAAAACCCTTTTTATGGGAGGGGGAGGGGGAAGAAGGGTGATCTGCTCTGATCCTTTCATCTCACAGATGAGAACCCAAGGCCTGTAGAAATGAAGTTCAAGGTCACAGCTGGGCGGAAACAGGGCTTTTTCTCTCATATTCATCTCTCCTTGTTTTGTCTCTAAACAGTAATGCTAGCTCACTAGAATGCAAATTCTCCTAAGGTGAAAAGTCTAAATGAACCCCTTTAAGGATAATGCTATTTTAAACCAGTGAGTCTACTACACAGTCAGGAGGTGAAAAGCCATGGAGACTTTCGACTTGTTAAAAGGGAATCCTATGGAAAAGAACGCAGTGCAGAGGCAGGAGGAATCCTATGGGAAAGGACACGATGCAGAGGCAGGAGGTGCTGAGCCTCGGGAGAGGCCCCGTGGGCTGTGCAGGAGGGCTGTACTCCCCTCTGGTTCTTTGCCTGCATCAGATCCCTTGGGGAAAAATAAATCAGGAGTGAGGCGGCTACCTGGTTCTTCCACGATTTCCTCACAGGATAGCCACATGCCACTGCGGAAGGTACGGAAGGAGAAGCGGTCATCCCCAGCCTCCCAGCTGTATTGCACCACCTCCTGGGATGATGCGTTGGTGTTGCCTCCATCCAAGGGCAGTGGCAGGTCAAGGCACCTGGCTGCCAGACCTTTCCCGCACAGGGGCTTGGGCACCTTCTGTGTGCCCACAAACCAGTAGTTGCTGAGCAGGGATGTTGTGGAGAGGCTGAGTGATAGCATGTTGAGGATGGCAGATAGGAATGTCCGTTGGCCAGAGAAGCCCTTCGGGAGCTCCATCTGTAACAGACAAACACAGGGGGACAGCCTGATTTCAGTGTCTTCTGGGACGTCTGGACACCCTTCCCTGAGGCTCCCTAAGCTCAAGCCACTTTCCTCCAATATGACGGGCACGACCAGCCGCTGGGTGTTTTCTCCCAGGAGGCCTGAGGAAGCTTGGCTTCAGGAGTGGCCTGGAGTAGGCATGAGAGCAATGATGTTTATTTAAGCTGGACCCTATTATACTAAAATGCTTACTGAGGATGATCTGAGTAAGCATCAGATAATAACTTCAGTCAGAATGTGATGAAGCCACCGAGGCTAAGATACGTCAGGCTGAGAAAAAGAATTAGGAGTAGTCCAAATGCTCCTGCTGGTGATTATTTATGGTTTTGTCTATATTGGAAGGTAGTAGCACTGACTGACTGAGGTATTTGTTAGTGTAACAATGTGAGTTTTTGATGTCACCTTCAGTAAAGGGGGATAGGTCCTATCAACGAATGTTAAACTAGATCACCCAGGGAGGGTGGTGCAGATAAAGGCTTTGGGGCCCTGAAGATAAAAGAGGGCAGTGGACTAACTGGGATGTGGGGCTATTGAAATCCCTGGGGAGGAGATGGGCTGAGTTCTGAGAGAGGTGGTGATCAGGTCCAGCTTCCATCCACTGCCACTGAGATGTTAGAATCTCAAATGGGAGGCGGCTGCATGGTGCCCACAGAGGCTGGACACCAAGTGTCGAGGCCATGGAGCCATGGGGAGGGTGCTCTTGGCTGGTGGAGAGGAATGTGGAGGGACATCTCCACAGCTTGATACCGCAGTGGTGCTTGTCATAGTGGGGGGACAGTGTATGGCAACAGAAAGCTTTGTGGCCCATGTGGCTCTGGTTTGAGCCCCTGACCTTCTTGTCATTTTTAGCCTAAGAGACAAGGAGCGTGAGCTGAAAAATAACTCCTATTAGATGTTTCAACTTTGATGAGTGATGGCTTGGAGCCAGATTTAATTCGATTTAGAAAAATAAAGAAATCTGACAGGTCTTGCACTGTGTGTTATAGAGAAGTTTATACTGTTATATTAATACGTGCTGAACGGAAAAGAGGCCCATACTTAGTTGCTGACAGACGCTTCTTAAAGTAAACCATCTTGAGCTTTCCGGGGGATCTCTTATATCAGAATTAATCAGACCTAAATCTGCTTAGCTTAAGAGATGTAAATAAAGCCACAGCTAAATGGGACAGGCCCATAAATCTGCCTCTCTCATCATCTCCGGCTTAACATTTCTACATTTAACAGAGAACTTTATCTTAGAAATATAACAGTTTGTTCTTCAGAATTTCCAGAGATGAAAAGCATGCATACCACAGACAAAGCACAGATTATTTATGGCAATAAGAAATATACAAGGTTCATATGTATATAAAAACCAATATACAAAACATATGCTAAAACAGCTTCTGGAAAGCAATCTGCTAATACGACTTTTTTTTAAAGCACTCAAGAAATTAACTCCACCAAGAATTGTCAGTCCGTGCAAGACTCTGGGTGACCTTGCTAAGGACTGAAAAACCACAGCATCTGGAAGGAGGAAAGATCTTATATTGCCAGATATGGGAGTCTTCTGTTGCCCCTGTCCCCAAAAAAGAATGTTTTCACCTTGAAAATCCTACTGGTTTTAGTTATTACCACATAGTTCTGTTACTCTGAGTTATCCTTTCTAATTATTTTTACATCGATTGCCTGAATAGGGAATGGACTTCAGGTAAAACACCTTCACTAATCATTATAAAGATTAAACTAAGGCTTTAGGTAATTCTACACGTTCAATAATTTTATTTTCAATCTTACATGGCTTGGAAATTTGTCTGCTATCACATCACATCACATCACATCATCACATCACATCACATCACATCATCACATCACATCACATCACATCATCACATCACATCACATCACATCACATCACATCACATCACATCACATCACATCACATCATCACATCACATCACATCGGATTTTCACTTTACTCTCAATCCATTTCCAATTACACATGTTCATAAGTTACTCTTCAGAAATAAGAATAATGAACCCAAAACCATGTACAACCACTTTGTGGTGGCATCAAGGTGACAACCAACTTAAGGAGAGGTGATCTGAGAAACAAAGGGTGAAAAAGAGCTTGAAATGAAGCACAATGAGGCTGTTTCCTGGAGGAGTGTGTACCAAGGAGAGACTCAAGGAGCCTCATTCAAGAATTATCTTGATAATTGAATGAGAATCCATTCAAGAGCCTTCTCAAGAATTACCTTCAACACATATAGTGCCATGCCTTTCATTATCCACTGCCCCGCCCAAAAATATGCCTTTTCTCTCAGGATCCAGATACTTCTGGAATTGGAAGAAAAAATCTAAATTTGCAATGGTTTCCTTAAGGTGATCATGAAGAAGTAGCAGCCATAAGAGAAGTTCTATCTTTGCGTATGCTGACAAGCTGCTCGCCTAAGTGGCTCTTTATAGAGAAGGGACAAAGTGAGGCTTCCCTGACACTCGGCTCACATCATTAGGAAGTGCATAGGTGCCAAAATGTCAGTAATTCTTCTATCAACAAAGGCTAACAGAAAAACTTGGAATTAACATAGGCAAGTAAGGACAACAAGTTGATGAGACAGGCACATCTCTTAAAAGAATCAGGTGCAACACAGCTATGGGATGTATGTTCTGAGCAATAAAGGGGGAAGCTGGTTACCTTGGCCATGGTCAGCGTCTTGCAGTTTGTCCCGGAGGACCGCAGGATGCCATCTGTGCACCAAATCCCTTTGGTTTAGTGTTGAAAGAATGCAAACTGCCTTCCTGCCCTCCTCTTTCCCCTCCCAACCCTCCCCTTCTGTCTTCTGTTTTGGAGGGCCTCGTGATTAAATGCCGCTCTGCGGGGAACTTGGGCATTTAATAATTGACAATGCAATCCTGGCCCAGCTGTTCTGGGAGATTAAACAGGAGAGTTTGCCAATAGGGATAGGGGATTAAGCACAGAGAAGTAAGGACTTGCCTTTGCAGAGAGAAGTTTCTTTAAAAAGTAAATGATGATTTCGTTTCCATCTAACTGCCCTTCCCTAGGTAACTGGTGTGAATGGATTGGGCTTGATTTTACGGCAGACACAGAAAATATGAGAGGGTCACCACTACTACAAAAGTTCCCATTCCCTTGAGTAGGGTTTCCATCCCTTTTATAAGCTCTTCTCTCTGCAGTGTCAAGGCCTCCGAGCCACGGGTATAGCTTCTTTGTGCCCTGGTGGTCTCCACCTTCCAGTTAGCATCATTAGTAAGGATTATTAAGTACCCCCCTCCACATGGAACACTGCAACACAGTGAGACAGTGTGGAGTGGGGATGCGGGTAAGGATACAGATGGAGAAGAATGGGAGAGGAATAGATTCCAGGGTCAGCAATGCTATGGCTCTATCCCATTTCTCTCCCAATCTTCCGGCAAAGGAATGAAAATTTTTTTTAAAAAAGGTTTTTAAAACTTAAAGTAATCTGACAGATCAATGAGGGGTTGATTGCATATCTTCTTGCCGCCAGTCACTTAGAAGGACAAGTTGTTCTTTCTGTCCTCAAAAATCGTACCAATTAATTGGGGTGACAAGGCGGGGAGCCATTCTGCAGCTGCTGTGGTTCCCTAAACACCTCATGGATCATCCCCCAGGCCTTCACGGACGCTCTTCCTTCTGCCTGGACAATCTCTTATTGCCTAGTGATCCGCCTCTCATCAAGATCAGTGGGAAAAGTCACGCATCCTTTGAAAATGTTTTTCTCCCCAAGACAAAACAGTTCCCTCCTCTCTGTGCTTGTCAGACTGTACCCCTCTCATAACACGTTCTGTATTCCATTAGAATTATTTGTCTTGATTTTAAAGTCCTCAAAGTCCTCTCCTTGATTGGAGAGCAGTTCTCAGTTCTGACTGAGTGTCAGAACAATTTTTGGAAATTTGGAAAATGTGCAGATTCGTGGGTCCCCACCCTGAGATTCCATAGTAGTTCTGGGGTGAGGCCCAGGAATCTGTAATTCTAGAAAGCTCTTTGTATATACCCAGGCATGGACTTCTGGTTTCCGGTTCTGCATATAACGAGCTTGGAAGTCGCCACTCTGTCCTGACAGGTAAAATATATAGCCAGAGAATGAATAGACCATAAAATGACATCTGTTTGACTCATCTGGGGCTTACATTTAACGAAACCTTCTGTACCCTACCCTGCCCTTCCCCCACCTCTCCCAGATTTGCCACCAAATCATGTTTTCCCCATTCTCTATTTGTGCAGTTAGTTTAGAGAATCAAAGGCAGGCTCCCCTAACTTCAGATTGTTTGAATTAATCCACATTTTAGCCAAATGAGTCTCTTTGGATCTTGCTTCTGTCACCCAGTATTTCTACCCTTCTTAGCCTGATGTTAACAGCAAATTTGATACAAACGTGTGTCTGTCCAAGCTTGATTTCCATATCACCCAAAGACCCTTTATGCATTGGGATAGAACTCCCCCGCCTTTGGGAAAAGGAGAGCAGAAATTTCTGGTCGCTTTTCCTGTTGAATGGGCTGTTGGTTTCCTGGCTACATCATTTTCAGCGCAAACGCTGGGTGGCACCATCTCCTCATCTTTTTCTCTTCAGTCCCAGGCTTCCCCCACCAGTCAGCAAGCGTGGGCGGAGGTAGGGCTCCTCCCGTAGGATTGTTCTCTTTTTTCTTCATTTGGCCTCCTCCCCACATACTAATCTATAGAACACCATGTGTCAGCCTAATGGAATTCAGGACTCCGAGTGAACTCGGGGACACCGGCCACTCCCTCGAGGACGTCTTGTAGGATTGTTTCCTGTAGCACATTTTTTGTGGCCCATTCCAGTTTTCAGTGACTCAATAGATCCTCAAATACTTCCCATGGGAAATACGAGTCCACAGTATCAGAAAATACAGTCAGCCAATATTTCCTGATGAGTTTTGCGTACATTTTTCTTTACTTAATCGTATCCTCGTTCCCTTTCCACCCGAGAACAGTGAACAATTCTTTTCCCTTCTCTCTGCTTACACCCTTCAAATACTTGCAGACACTTCTCATATCCCGCTTGAGTCACTGTTTGGCATAGCTTGTGTCTTGGGTTTTTATTGCCTCTGCTCATAAACCACACCCCCGATGCCTTAATAGCCTGAAATTTGCCTTTTCCAGGGAAAAGGGGATGGGAGCGGCAGAGTCTTGAGTGGGTTACATGAGGAGGCTTGGAGGTAGATTTAGAAGTGAAGCTCATGAAACTTCAGCTTTGTGGTCCCCCTGGTACTCGGGCCCCTTCCAAGACCCTGTCACCTAATTTGTACTTGTCATTTTGTATTACTTTTCTTAAAGAGGGCCTCCAAAATTATATTATTTTAGGCCTCCCCAACGCCTGAATCTACCCCTTAGGTGGCTATGCTTTCTGTGTGGGTGCTCGGCTGGGGTACAAGCTGTGACCAATCTTGAGACCCACCTCGCTCCCCAAGGACCCTGAGCCACAAGGTCTAATTTCCTCTTTTTGACAAAACATGAGTTTCTCTGACTGGTCACAAATATCAGAGCCCAGCATCCCACTCACTTCCTTTCATTGTAATTTGGGCATGTTAATATTTTTTTCCTTCTCTTTCCCTTCTTACAACAGGAAAAGTGATGGCTAGTCAACGCAATATAAATATAACTAGGTTAGGCTCAGAAGCTCATGAGTTAGCACAGACTGAAGATTGCACATGTCAAAACAGTTTTTCACTTTGGTGTGTTGGACTGTTACCATTTCAGGATGACCCCACAGGGATAAACCTGCAACTCAACATTTATGACATTTATGACATCACAAAGCCAATGGGTGGGACTACTCCATATTTACTAAGGTCCTCACTCACTGTTTCCTATACTACAAAACTACATTTACTAGGTATGAATAAAGAGAAACTGGTCTTGGGACATCCACACATACTTTGAAAACAGCAATTTAATTTATTGTTTGGGGAGTACACTGTAGATGAGAGGTGAGTCAAACAATGGTCAGAACGCTGAGCCAGAGAAGACGGTATAGAACACCACTTCCCTAATGTCAAAGCCTGGGGGTAAGGCATCAGTGGGGTTTTTTCCACGTATGCCTACTGGCATCTTCTCCCAAGAAAGGTCTGTTTGCCCTCCCTGGCAGAAGTATCTCTCCTTCTCCCAGGAGTCAGATTTCTGACCCATGTCCCATTAACTAACTCCTTTCTGTGACTCAGTAGACAGAAGGCTGGAATGGAGTGTTAATGTTTCCACGTCTCTGGCTCTGATCTACATGCCCCTGTTCCTGCATGTTCTATGTGTGCCTCTCTCATGCAACTCATCACACGGGTTCCTTGTCGTTTATGCTCACTTGACTTTAAGTTGCTAGATACAGAAGGAGCTATGTTTTATTCATTGTTGAGTCTCAGAGCCTAGCACTGTCTAACATCCATGAATGAATGAATGAAGTTTGTAATGGAAATGAGGCTCATGAATATAATTAGGAAGCCTATGAGTGAAGATGTGAATAAAGTGTCCAAACAGCCTTCTATTAGTAAAGGAGACAGGAATCCTTCTGATTCTCATACATGAGAGCAGCGAGAAGCTAAAAAGAGGGTCCACAAGTCCACAGAACACCCTACGCCTCTCTACACAGATGTACCCATAGTTTCATCAAACAGATCCTCTGCCAATCCATTTCCTCCCACCTGTGGAAACATTCCTGCTTTCTGATGAGCTAAGGCCAGAAAACAGCAATGATCTCATAAACGAGCATTATCTTTAGTTCACAGAGACCAGGGTACAAACAGATTGCTCAAAACCCAGTGACAGATTGGAAATGTTATGTCCTTTCCCAAGCTACGTGATTCCCTACTAATTTAGGGCCCTTTTGGATGATGGATCTTGAACCATAGAGGATTTTGCAGCTCTAATTACATTTTTTACTTCAATGGCTCACATTTGACTCATTCACTGATGAAGAAAATTAAAGTCTTCACACAGAATATTTTGACATTGGCCTCCCAGCCCAGAAAGGAAGAGTAAAGACACCAAAATGCCCAGGCTGAGCGTCCAAAATATGAACATCTCTATAAGACACACAGCTTTGGCATTTCCCAGCTTCAGGTTAATCTCAATTCTAACTGTGTTTAATGTCCACATGGCTCCAAACGCTCACAGAATATAAAGGACTCCTGTCTTCCTAACATGGGTCCTGAGTTCTGGGAACACTTCTACTTAGGTTCAATGGAAAAGACCAAAGAAAAGTATTTTGGGGCCTCTCCTCTCTGTCGCCTTTCCCTTTCCGCTTGTTAAAGGGATTGTTAGAGGGCTTTGGCGAATGCAGTCATTTCCAGGAGAGGAAGCGGCCTTTCTTCCATGCCCCAAGCAGCTGGAGTGAATCAGAGGGGCAGCCACATCTGCACATCCTGTGGGGCAATCGCTCACGCGCGGGTGACGGGGCCCTCGGGCCCGCTGGGGCTCTTGGGGACCCCGGGCGGGGCGGGATGGAGGCCTAGCGGGAGTGGCCCCTCAGGGGTGCTTAGGGCGCGGCCACCGGGGAGCAGAGCTGGGCCGCCCCCTTTACATTCCGCGTGCGCCCCTCGTTCCTTCTTTTCCTGCTCTCTCTCTTTCTCCCCCTCCCCCTGCAGTGGCGGTACCCGTGCCCAGCCTAGTGCCCCCGGCTGCCCTCGGCCCCCCTTGGTCGATGAGTAACCACCCCCCTCCTGGTTTACTACGGCGCCCCCGGTTGCCTAGCAGCGGGCGTGCGTTGCCATGGCGACACGCCGGGAGCGTGTTTTGAATTGTTTGGCGCGGCCCCGCCCTAGCGGCCGCGCGTCTCCCACTTCCCGAGCGGGTGGGGCTGAGGCCGGACCTTTTGTTCCTCTCCATCTTCCTCCCACTGATGAGAACCGCGTCCCGGGTGCCCCCCTAGAGAAGAGGAGCCGGGAGAGCAGGACGCAGGGAGGGCGAGCCGCGGGGTCGGGGACCCCAAGGAGCGCGGCAGCCACGTGGCCCCGAGCTGGGCCCAATGGGGCAGCGGCCGGCTGCTCTGCTTCCCTCGCGAGGCGTGGCAGAAGCGGGTGCAGAGACCGGGTCGTCGGATAAATTCCTCACCCCAAGGCCTGTAGGCCCAGGGGCAGGAGGTGCCTGTTGCTGTGGGACTCTAAGTCTGGCATTTCCCAGCCCCCTGCCCTTCCGGTAAAGGTACCGGTCCCTGGCCCTAGTTATAAAGTCAGGCTCTGTCTTTGCCTCACTTCGTGGATCTGAGAGATGAGACTTCGGTGCCTTGAACCCTGAGCAGATGTGAGTTCTAGTTGCTGTTCCACGTGCGCCTGGACTAATGATTTTGGCCGAGTTACATAGCCTCTCTGAGCGACTGTTTCTTCAGAGAGAAATTAGGAGAAAGAGTTGTCCTTCACATTTCTGCTGTGAAGATCTAAAGAGGTAGAGTGAACATGGAAAGGAGGGGGAAGGGAACCCGAGCCGGGTACCACACACCTCACTAGACTCTTCACAAACATCTCATTTAATCCTCACAACCAGCCTGAAGCAGAGGTGGCCACTCCCTTCCAGACCTGGGGAATCAGACTCGGAGCATTTGATTTGCTCAAGGCCACCACGCTAGGAAAGGGTGGAGTCATTATTCGACACCTCCTGACTCATGGCCAGGCTGCCGCTCAGTAAAGGGGAGGCACAGTCGCCTCAAAACGCCAGAAGATGGAAACTCACACAGAAGGAGACAATGGATTAAGTGTAGTTTATACTTCACAGATACATACTGATGCCCAGACTCATTGCCTCCCATATTGCCTCTGTGATTCTCCTCACAGACCAATTTAAAAAAATTTACTATGGCTGGCTTTTTCTGTCATGTTCCTATCAACTTCTGAGGATTCTCCTATTTATGATCTATTCACTTCCAGGTGCTTCTGAACTAGAGAAGCCGGCTGAGTCCATACTGAGGGCTCTTCAGAACCACTAGCTCTTCTCTGCAGTCCCAGAAGTGTCCCTTTCTTAGGTCCTATCCTGTTCTTCTGAGATCTTAACTTCCGATCCATGAACAGCACACCACATTACTCTATGTGCGTGCGTGTGTGTCTTTTGTTTCTCTGGCTAATTCTAAGCTTCATTTTTTTCCTCTCGTGAGAGAGGCATGATATGAGAAAGAACTTTTGCTTTTTTAGTAACCCTTTGAGCTGAAAGTTGGAAGATCCCAACTTTCTCAAATGGGAGGCAAGTCACTTCCAGATGTGCATTTTACCCTAAACAAGCCAAGACATCTTGCTGGCTGTGAAGGTCTTCTTGGGTCTGGAAGGATCCCTGCAGATTCTCCCAGATTCTCTGAGACCAGAAAGAGCCGAAGGTTGTGTTCTCCTCCTTAGTTCCAGATCAGAGCTGGCTTTCAACAGGACCATGGGGATGCCTCACCACTCTCTGGCAGAGAACTTACCATCTGCTCTTTCAGTTCACTAGAATGATATACATCTCTATCGTTGCTACCACCACTGGGCCTTTTACCAGGGACCAGATTTTGGCAACAGGAATCAGACAGATGGAGGGGAAAAAGACGTGCTAGAGGGCTCCTAGCAGTCCTGGGAGCAGAGAGGAAAAGTGAGATGAAGAGGCAAAGGAGGAAGAAATGGAAGTTTTAATGGAAGAATATGGAAACAGCAAGAGGCCAAGGTATGGACATTGCCAGGTTTATCAATAAAAACTGGGCTTGAGTAACCACTTTTTATTCCATTTTGTATAATCCTACAGTGTATTCCCAAGCTCCTTACCATGAGCAAGTAAAATAAATTAAATTGATGAATTTGTATAACCTGCGTTACAAATCCAACATTAAGGGTACTACATGTGAGATATTCATGAGACTTCAAAAATCCAGGCACCTACCTTCTGGGTGAGACAAACATTTTGAGTCAATTTGGAGGGATTGCTCATTCACTTTTGAAGTCCAAGGCAAAGATGTTTCAGTTGCTCTTCTGCTCTCTTAATCGGTTGTGTGGAATGAGTATCTAGCCTGAAGATGAATCAGGTCCCCTCTTGCCAGCAGAGGGGTCAGGTGGTGTGAGGTGCGCTGGAGAGGATGGAAAGGATGTCCTGCAGCCAGGACACCAGTCTGGGTGGGGCTGGCTGACATATGAAGTTTTCTCTGTGACATCACAGTGGCAGGCCAGGATCTCCTGCTGCTCCCCTGCCTCTTGCCCCCGCCCCCAGAAGGACAGGGGCCACTCTGGGGTATCTGCCAGAGGCCCAGCTGTCTTCTGAGTCATCCACATCAGTGCTTCTGTTACTGCACATAAGAATCACCTGGGCATCTTAGTAAGCTATCAGGTTCTGAAGGCCTGGGGTGGCTCCCACATGATGCAAATCAGACCACGCTGGGTTGTAAGACTCTAGACCAGCGCTGTGAAAGAGAAATACTAAATGAGCCACATTTGTAATCTAAAATTTTCTGGTAGCCACATTAAAAAAAGTGAAATAGACACACACACTGCAACATACCACGATATGTTATGCAGTAAAAATAATGTAATCTTCCCCCAAATGAATAAAGTTGGGTTCAATGGAAAAATATTTTACATGGCTTCTATTTTAAAAATTTAGAATGAAATAAAATTAGAAATTTACTTCCTTGGTTGCGCTAGCCACATTATAAGGGCTCAGTAGCCATCCATGTTTGGTAGCTACAGTATTGGATAACACAGCTCTAGACCATTCCCAGAAAAGGTAATGATGTGTGGAAATTACTATTCTAAAGGACTACTAACTGGAAACCTAGTAGATGTTTACTCCCGTAGTTTTATCATGTACATAATGAGGATTTGGGTGCTATTGACAGTGAGACATAACTTAGACTTGAAGAGAAGGATGGCGTCTTCCCCAGTATTCCAGCTAAGAGCCTGGCTGGGGGCTTTCTGCCCAGGGAGACATGTCACGCTCGGTCCATCTCTGAGCTTTTACCTGGGTGCCCCTCACTGGGATTCCTTCCTCTTCCTTGCCACCCCATCTAATTCCCACACAAGCTTCAGGGCACATGATTTCAGTCTCAATTCAACCCAAAGTCTTCCCTTGTTATTCTAGCCCTCATTTCTCTCCCTTTCCTCTGAACTTGGGTAGCGTGTATGGTCTGGCTTACAGTGGGGAGCTTCTTTACATGGGATCCTGAACTGCTGGCTTTGCTTTAAGGTATGAGCCTGTTTCTCTCATGAATTCTAAGCTGCTTGAGGACAGAACCTATTTCTTTACTTTTATTGTGCTTAATATAGTGCTGAGGGCATCATAGCTGCTTAATAAATATGTATTATTTTATTTAATAAGCTAAAATACCAAGTAAATGTCTAAGAAAGAGCATCAGATCTAAAAGTATCAATAAGTTAAAAGGAAGAATGTGCCTTGTTCTCAGATCGTCTCAACTTGATCAAGGTGTCAGTTCTCCTTAAGTTAATTTATAAATTTAGTATAATCCTAATACAAATACCAATGAGTATTTTGAAAGAGCAAGACAAGTTGATATTAAAGTTTATATGGGAAAACAAATGTGCAAGACTAACTAGGAAAACACTGGATAAAAAGAGTTCTGGGGGGGGGGGGCTAGCCCTAACAGATATTGAAACATGCTGCAAAGCCTGTGTAATTAAAACTGTGTGATATTGGTGCGTGACTAGACAAACAGACCAATGAAATAGAAGAGATGATCCAGAAATAAACACAGCTACATATAGACATCCAGGACATGACAAAAGTGAGATCTATAGTCAATGGGGCAAAGATGATCTTTTTAACAAATGGCATTGGGACAAACTGGATAGCCATTTAGAAAAATATAAATTATATGCATTTTTTAATACCATATACCAGAATAAGCTTCAAATGGACTAGATATCTAAAGGTAAAAAATGAAATTATACAAGTACAGGAAGAAAGCAAGGGTGAATTCCTCTACAACCTGGGCGTAAGTAAAAGTTTTTAACTATGACTAAAGATCTAGATACTAGATAAGAAGAGGCTGATAAATTTGACTACATTAAAAAAAAACAAGACTTCTTCATGGCAAAAATCACCATAAACAGAATAGAAAACAAGTCACAAACTGGGAGAAAGTATTTGTAATGCATATAACACATAAAAGGCCAATGTCCCTAATGTACAAAGAAATTGTTAAAAATTAACAGCGAAAAAAGACCAAAATTGCTATAGAAAAAAGGGCAAAATTCAGGAAAAGGTAAGTTACAAAAACAGACATGTAAGTGGCCCTAAATATGTGGAAAGCTGTTCAACTTCACTTATAGTAAAAGTAATGCAAATTAAACCTACAATGAGGTATCATTTCTTATCCGTCAGATTGGCAAAATTCAAAAGCTTGACGATTATCCTCTGTTGATGAGGCTACGGGGAAACAGCCACTTCCATTCATTGCTGGTGGGACTTCAACATGTCCCAGCCCTACGGAGGAGAATTTGGCAGGATTTAACAAAGCTACGTACGCTTTTATCCCTTGACCGCAGAAATCCTAATTCTAGGAATTTACCCTGAAGATGCGCCTCTGTCAATATCAGGATACGTATGCACAAAGGTATTCATTGCGGCACTATTTGTAATTGTAAAATATTGCAAACTACCTGAATCTCCAAGCACAGGAAAGTAGGTGAATAAAATATGGTACATACACACAATGGAGTACTGTGCAACTGTGTAAAAAAACCCCGAAAAGACAAAACGAGGGAGATTTCTATGAACTGACGTGAAATGATTTTCAGGAAATATTAACTGAAAAAAATGGAAAGTGCTAAAGAGGGTATATAGTATGCTATTTTTGGTGTAAGAAAGAAGGGGAAATAAAACATACATATATCTGCTTATTGTTACCGAAAGAAACACAGGAAAGACAAACCAGAATACAATAAGGCTGATTCCTTACTAGAGGAAGAGGATGGCAGTGATTCAGGAGGGAGTGACGCTTGTCTGAGAATAATATTTTTTGTATAGTTTTGACTTTTGGAAGCACATTAATGTTGTACGTATTTGAAAGTAAAATTAAAACAAGATGGAAAGGGAAAGAAAAACCTTAAACTGAAAACAAATTGAAACAAATGAACCTAATTGTTTTTCAGATAAATACTACAACTACACTGAAGGGGAAAAAGCAAAAGAAAGAGCAAATTCAAGGAACTCATGAACATAGCGTTTGACCATTTACCTTCTGTCTTGGGTGAGGTTGAGTGAGGGAGAATTGCACCCAACTCCTGAGCTCTTTTTAGTATATAGACCTTATTCATCTTGTGGTGATGTGCCATGCAGTATTGGAACTATTTTAGATGCATTGTGACACTGGGCAAATGCAAATGTGTTAATGCTGTTGGGAGCTAGAATTCCCATATGGGAAAGGGACATCAGAATGTGGAATGGGGGAAGGCAAGAAGGGACTCTATGGGGGTGGATTGGAATTAGAGGCATCAGTGTGAACTCATGACTTCATATATGTGTGTATGTGTGTGTGTGTATATATATATATGCACAATATGTATACATATATATACATTTGTGCCCATGTATATATATTTGTGTGTATGTATATGTATACTATGTAGGTGTGTATTAAATTTATCTGTATATGTATAAATACATGTATATTTTTTCTAGCTTTGTCTACTGAAAGGGCCTAGAAGCAAAGACTCCCCAGTAGCAATGAGCACCTAGCGCTCAAATCTTGTCCTGTAATACTAAGAGCTCCTCAAAGAAATGGCCAATTCCAGAACTGGGACAAGGTAGGTACAAGATGAACTTGGAACATTATGCCAGAAAGTAAAGAAATGCTTGAAAAAAATATGATGAGGGGCATTTTACAAGGATACATGAACCACCTGGAAGGGATTTCTGCTGGTTAGTACAGCATTGAATGATAAACCATTGGAGAAAACAGGAATTAATGAGCTCATATTGATAAACACATAGGCAGATAGAGTAAACAAACAAACAAGGGAGAAAGGAAGGCTCTTGTTTACTGCACAAAGCAAGGAGTGGACTAGGAAATGGGGAAGGCACGCTGGAGTTGGGAAATCATCATTTTGCAACTATTATAGTAAAGACAGGTTTACACAATCATTGCAATCATGAATGACACTGCATATAGGGAAAACTTTTGATGAGACGCAGACTATTCTGATGGTCTTAAAGTGTCTTCCCATAGATTGCCTATTAATTACAAGGGGAAAAGTAACTGTACAGTAAAGAAATCAGATGACGCTTTGACCAGGTGGTTAAAATTGGCATGACCAATGAAGGGCAGATGGACATTGTGTGTCACTAGATGTGAAACCCTGAGCAGGGCATAGCGTCGCTTGTGTGGTGTTCAGGTGGAGACTGTGTAACCTGAATCTAAACACAAGAAAACACTGAGCAAATCCAAAATGGTCACTTTATATTAAAAAAAAGTTGGACTGTATTCTTCGAAAATGTCAATGTCACAAAAGGCAAGGAGAAGCTAGGGAAATATTCCAGATTAAGGAAATTAACGAGACAAGACAACTACATGCAATATCAGATCCTAGTCTGGATTCTGTGCTGGAGAAGGAATGAAAATAAAAAGAAAGGACTTTACTGAGTCAATTGACAGAATTGGAAACCTGACGCTTGATTAGGTAAAAGTATTGCATCAATGCTAAATTTAGTAAAGTTGATAACTGCATTATGGTTACGTAAGAAAATATCCTTAATCTTAAAAAATACACAATAAAGTATTTAAGGAATTTATTATCAGAAGCTTTAGAAAAGTTTATCTATGAGAGAGAGAATGAGAGAGTGCAAATGATAAAGCAAATGAGGTAAAATTGTAACAATAGGTAAATTTGGGAAAAGGGTAGATGGCTATTCTTTGTATTATTCTTATTCTTGCAATTTTTCCATGAATTTTAAATTATTTCTGACATCCCTCCCCCAAAATATTAAAAGTGTCTAGAGACCCCTAAACAGTCCCTGACTATGTTTTGAGAGTAGATGTGGATATGTCTGGAGCTGGCGTTAGATCTTTTTGGGACCAGGGCTTTTGTCCCATTGTGGCTTCTGGTCTTCATTACAATTGATCTCTCGTTTGTTCTGTTATTGTTCACAAAGTGGGACCACTGTGTCCACTGGTTGCACCTGGTTCATTCCCGGGGGCAAAAGGTCTACTTTCCTCATCTCTGAAATTCCTGCGGTGTCTGAAACACAGGTGCTTGCTCAGTTCTCATTTACTGACTCGAAATGGATCGAATGAGCGCAGATTGTTCTGGTGTCTGAAGCTTTTGGGTGGTGCTCTGGAGAAAAACCTCTTGAAAGTCAAGGAGAGTAGCCGTCTCAGCAGCATCTCCAAGATCTCCCCTTCTGGGTCTGGTGGAAGTTGTATAATAAACAGAACTGGGTGCAGAGTTTAGCAGAAAAAATGGTTGTGGTAGGCTCAAAATGCACCCCCAACCCCCAAAGATATCCACGTCCTAATCTCAGGAACCTGTGAATGTCACCTTATATGCCAAAAAACGACTTTGCAGATATGATGAAATTAAGGGCTTTGGGTTGTGGAGATTATCCTGGATCATCAGGGTGGGCCCTAAATGCAGCCACGTGCATCCTTATCGGAGGGAGGCAGAGCGAGATTTGACACACAGAGAAGAGGAGAAGACAATGTGGCCATGGAGGCACAGACTGGAGTGATGTGGCCACAAGCCAAGGAATGCTGGCAGCCACCAGAAGTTGGAAGAGGCAAGGAAGTATTCGCTCCTGAGCCTCCAGAGGGAGTGCAGCCCTGCTAACACCTTGATTTGGGCCAATGAAACAGCTTGCAGACTTGAGCCTCTAGAAATCCGAGAGTGTAAATTTCTGCTATTTTAAGCCATCAAGTTTATGTTAATTTGTTACAGCAGCCTTAGGAAACTAATACAGTGATAGAAATGGAAATTGCTTCAACTCACATCCTCACCCTCAGCTCATACACACACTTTCAGGAAGGCATGTTCTCTCTGAGCCTTATTGCTTTTAATTTTTGACATGGAAGAACTGGCTATGTAGGGATTCTGTGAGTAAAGGAGCAAAGGTCTGAAAAATACAACCTCTTCATGCAAGCCTTCCTTTCTCTAACACACAAAGGTAGGTGGCTCCCAACCTTGCCTTCTTTCCCCCATCCATTCAGACATCACAGGCGCAACATGATGCAAACTGACTGTATGAATAATTCCACCTCTCGTCTTTTTCTTTCTTAAGTCACTGCTTGGCTGAGAAATGATCCAATTCAGAGTTAAAAAAAATCCAATTGCATACTGATTAGTCATACTCTCCTTAATTAAATTCAACGTACTTAAGTTCCTCATCAGTAGTAATAATAATAATAAATAGTATTATATTATTATTTATAATATAATGTAATGTATAACATAATATTGGCTAGCTAATATTCATTGACCTACTTACAAGGTACTGTGCTATGGGCTTTTTGTTCATTGCCTCATTTAATCCCTATAATGCAGTTAGGTGGATTTATTAATACTGTTTTACCCACGAGGAACCTGAGGATGTGACTATATAGCTTGTGACATGTGACTTTCTGATAAGTTACAGCAGGACCGCAGTTCTCTGGGGAGTTCTGTGCAAGCAGGAGTACCGTGGCCTGGACGCACGTTTCGCTGACCTTGCTAGGATGATTAACAAATATGGCAGAAGTTCAGAGACGGTGAATCTCCATGGAGGCAAACTGAGAGTGGACAGGGCTGGTGGAGAGGAATTCCAGTGGGGTTTGGAGCCTGCTGAGTCATCATTGATTCCAACATAACTGCCAGTGTTAAGTGGATCAGTGCTCATGGGAGTCTGCTCAAGGTTCCATCCATCTCTGGCATCATGTGGCTTGAGAGAGTTCCAGGGCAGGAGTTTTCTCAAACGTGGGTCATTTCCAGCTTGACTTTGAAGATTCCAAGCCATCTGCCTGCTCTGCTGGGTAAAGCGTACTATTTCTAACATTTGGATGTGATACTAACCGTGTAGCAAAGAATGGTTCAAAAATGCGTGGATGGCACTTCTGCTTACACTTCAGCCTCAAGACTGGTTGTAATATTCTGGCCTTCCCTCTTGATGTAAGGAGTTGCTGCTACTGTAGGAAGATGAGGGGATGGATTGTAAGGAGAATGGAGTGGCAGGGTTGGTGCGGAAACTCTCAGGTAAGTCATTGAAACAGTGAATAATCTGTTTCCTCATCTTTAAAAGGTTTCATAAACCCTTTCCTACTTCCTTCATAAGGATGTCATAAAGCTAAAATGAGGAAATGTCAGCTTCTTAAGAGTTTTAGATTTAGACAGGCCTTGGGTCAAATCTACTTTTTCTACTTATAAGCTACATGACTTTGAGCCAGTTTATTCAAAATCTCTCTAGTTCTCAGTTTCCTTATCTGAACAGCGGAGATAATGACAGCTACTTCACAGGGTCCTTGAGGGAATTAAATGAGATAATAAATATAGAGTATTTTATAGTGCCGGGCACAGAGTAAACATCTCATTGATAGAACTTATTATTATTAATAGTCATAATTGACAGAGAAGGAATTAAAAAGGTTAAAAGGAATTGTGCAGTATATTACTTGTAGTCATAGTAAATGCAAGGCTCACAAAATCTAAGCCTGCCTTTGAAAATATGCAAATACGTTTTTTTATTTCCTAATGGCAGTGAGCAAGACAAATATACTTGTTCAAGCAATTAGCTTTAGAAATAGAGGTATGACCAAACCCTAACGATTTTCCCCTGGCCGAGACGTTGTCCACCTATATTTAGATTTCATGGACTCCTATTAATCCTGGCATCTTGTGGAGCATGCGATGCCATGTGTAACCTGATACGCATCTTCTCCTAATTCCTCTGAAGACTGTAAATTCCCTGAGAATAAAGACAGCATTTTCTCTGTGGCCATAAAGCCCTGCAGGGCTTGCGAGGACTGCGTGGGTGTGCAATACTTGCAGGACTAATTGGTGCCTGGGTGCAGCGGGAGTTGTTATTAACTTTTCCACCCGTGTGAGCCCGGGGAGTGGGGTTGCGCGAGCGTGGGGTGGGAGCAGGGGAGAGGTGAGGGATTTGCTGGGGATTTGGAGCCTCTCACGAAGGAGAGCACGCCCTTCTCTCCCTGGGCATTCTATCTGCAGTGGGAGGAGTGAAAACAGATTCTGAAGCAAATCAAAGAGGATTGGTTAGACCTCCTTTCTTTCTTCTTTGAAGTACTGGCTTTCGTTCGGTTAGACACCAAAGTCTATGCTCTGACACTCGCCAGCCCTGGGAGCTGGAATCTGTCCTTAGGTCACTTTGAGTCTCAGTTTTCTTATTTTTAAAATGGACCTGATAGTATCATTTCTGTTTACTTCCCGGGCTTGTCATAAGCATCCGCTGAGACAGCGTACATAAAAGCGAGGCCGTTGGAGAGCCGGATACACAGGCTTCAGTACACACAAGTCCCGTCACGATGTCACTCTCCTAAGGGCGTGGGTCTTTATTGAAGGTTTCTTGCCCAGAGATAGGAATCAGTTACCTTCAGAGCATCATGTACTTTGCTGGCTTCCAGGAAGGATTGCTGTACAGAGCACTTTCGGGGACATGCCCCCTCCATGGCCCTAGGGCTGCAGCTCACAGACTGTGCTGTCAATCGTTCCAAAGCAACACAGACTCAAACCTGCTCTTCGGAAGCAAGAGGAGATGTGCATGAATGTGGCCCTCTCACTCTACACTTCTGTGTTTGCACTGACCAGTCACTGTTTTGCCAGATCCCCTATGGCTCCTGGCAGGCATTTAGGTGGCAACTGGCAGTGTTTGTGGTGCTGTTGGGGACCCCAGAACAGAATTTCCCTGGGGGAAGATAACCAGTCCCCAACTATTTTGGCTTCCTGGTGCTTTCAGGGTCTTCTATGAATATTTCTACCTGGACACCTCCCCTGTCCATTCCATGTTTTGCCAGATTTCCCCGTCTACAGAACTCGTGGTGTTGGGTAACCCTCTTGTACACCTGGTCCATGGAGCTTGAAGCCTGACCCGGCTAATGACAAAATCAGCTGATGACATGTAGGTCTCCTATCTGTGCCTCCTTCGGTCCTTCAGGAGAAGGGACACTACCAGTTGTCACCATTACCACCCATCATTTTTTTTTTTTTTGGTGAGGAAGATTCGTCCTGAGCTAACATCTGTTGCCAATCTTTCCTATTTTTTTTGCTTGAGGAAGATTAGCCCTGAGCTAAGATCTGCACCAATCTTCCTCCACTTTATATGTGGGTCACCACCACAGCATGGTTGACAAGTGGTATAGGTCTGCACTGGGCATCTGAACCCGAGAACCTGGGCTGACGAAGAAGAGTGCACTGAACTTAACCACTATGCCATGGCGCCGGCCCCCATTGCATCATTTTTTTTTTTTTTTTGAGGAAGATTGGCCCTCAGCTAACATCCACCATCAATTCTAATCTTTTTGCTGAGGAAGATTGGCCCTGAGCTAACATCCATGCCCATCTTCCTCTACTTTATATATGGGAAGCCTGCCACAGCATGGCTTGATAAGTAGTGTGTAGGTCTGCACCCAGGATCAGAACTTGCAAACCCTGGGCCACTGAAGCAGAGTGCATGAACCTAACGGCTATGCCACCAGGCCGGCGCCCCATCATGTCATTTTTTGAGGCAATTTCCAGAACACAGGGGCCGTCTGAGGCTGCTTTTGCCCCCCTCATTGGTAATCACAAGATATGGAGTGGGACAGAGGTAACTGATCCCCTGGAAAAGTCTGGGGGCTTCCTTGCTTACATTTCTCATCAGCTCTGTTCCTTTTCACAAACACTTCAAGACGTTCATGGGCAAATTCCCTTCCTGCCATTCTCCCCATTTCATTACTTCACCTGGAGGAAGGCATTTCCAGGGCAATTTCAAGCTCCTTTAGACTTTAATCCCCCAATCACTGAACTTCACAGTTAGAAAGGACCTTGGGAACATCTGTCCTAAAGGTTTCATGTGGACCCTGAGGCTCCAAGAGGGGAGGTGATTAAGTTACGGTCCCAAATCCAAGCAGGGGACAAGGCGACTCCCAGCCGAGCGGCCCCTGTTCTGTCACACTGCATGGACCCAAGTTCCTCTTTGCTAGAATCGCAGCTTCATAAACTAGGAGGAAACTTTAGAGAGCCTGGCCCTCTGATTGAGGCGGCATTCTCTGGCACCAGAGACTGCATGAGGATCTAGTTATTTCATCTTCCTGTATGACTTTCTTTGACTGTGGTCTCCTAAGAGGCTCTCTCTCGTTTTTTTTGGTTTGCTTTTTCTCTTAATTCCTCCCTCCCTATAAACTGTAATTAAAAATTACTATTTAACCCTAGGCTTGTGATACATTTTCTTAAAAAAAAAAAAAAAAAAAAAAGCACCAAGCAAAACAAAGTAACAACAACAAGAAGAAGCTGGAAAAGGAAAGGACAGCAGCATCCCTGAGCCTGTTTTCCACCAGCACACAGAGGCTCCAGGCCTGGTCCTCACTTGCTCCTTCTGCCTTCCCTCTCATTTGTTTTGAACTCGATTCTTTCACCAAGTTCCCTAGGCCCCGAAGAACACCCTGCTCACAGAGCTCAGTCCCTCTCCACCCTGCCTGTCACAGGCCCTGGAATTCCAAGTCAAACAGAGCTCTCCTGCCTTTTCCATTGAGAACAACATTCCTTGGCTTCTTTCCTCTGCTGGTTGGAGCTCACAGATAGAGCAACATGGAGCAAGCTTAGGAAGGAATATGTTCAATTACCACATTTGAAATGATGTAAAAGTAGATAAAAAGTATAATCCTTTTACTGACAAGGCATTAACAGGATTATTATCTCAAAAAGTCTTGTATATGCAAATTTGAAAATTACATGCTTGGAGATGCTTTGAAACCTACACAAGTTATCCAAGGAGCTGAGGGGCTGTGTTCCCTCTATCTAGTGACCAGTAATTTAGATCCAAACCAGGATTCTTTTAGAAGTGAAAGGATGTCTTACTAACAAGGATGCTGTTGGTCTTCTAGTTGGTGCTTAGATACCTTTACTCAGCCTAGGCAGTCCAGGAGTCTTTGGACCACTCTGAGCATTAGCTGAAATTAGCTTCTTTGCCTTTGTGAAAATTCTTGCCCCTGGGGTCACCAGGCAGGGCCTCATCCTTCTTCCCATGAAAACAGATCAGATCTTTGAATTTAGCTCTTGTGTCTTCTGAGTCTTTTCTTTTCCAGGCTATCTCTAGTCCCTTCACAATTCCCTATTTGCTGGAGTCTCCTGATCTTTCACCATCCTGTTGCTCCTGTAAATGAGCTCCACTTTGTCTGTATTTGCAAGTTTACACCCCGAGCTAAATGCAGTCCTCCTTCAGCCTCTAGCTGTTAGATCTTTCAATCTGACCTGACACAGCAGCTTCTTAGACAGACTCGAGGAACAGATGCCCAGCAGATCCCCTGATTTTCCTGAGCTTCCTTTCGCATGCTTTCTTGGGCACAGTGGAGAGGACTGGCATTCATCAATGACAAGACCAGGGGTACTGATGGAGGAACGAGCTCGGGAGTCTGGGGGCTCTATTCCCGCCTTGGTCAAGAGTTGGTCAAGTCTTATGAAATGGACAGGATTAAATAGCTTTGTCTCTCTTTCTGTCATGCGCTTAGTTTCCAAAATCAGCCTGCTTGGATTGAAATCCTGTCTTGTACCACTTCTAAGATGTTTAAATTTGAGCAAGTTACTTAACCTCCGTGTGCCTCCGTGTCCTCGTCTGGAACATGGAAAATCATACTGTTGTCAGGATGAAGTGAAAGGTACTGAGAACACCATCTGGCAACGTGGTCAGTCTCCCCCATGCTACGCTTGTTCTGAGTGTTATTGGTCTCCCTGCCCTCCTCTTTTCTTGGTGCTGTTGGTCATTCCTGGGGAGGTTTTCTGAAGCAGCAAAAACTGCAGGTCACCTGAGTGCCTCAGGCTGAAAACTCACCTCTGCCCTCTAGATTGCAGGTGGCTCAGTGGGAGGATAATCACACCCAAAGCCTGTCATTAATCCCTTTCAGGCTCCTGGGGCCTTTCATCCTAAAGCATTCCAGGGCCCTTGAATAAAAGAAGCAAAAACACTCATTAAAACATCAACATTTGTGTGGCAGGTACCACAAGTCGCTCTCATACTTCCAGTCACAAAATTGCTCCTTATCTGAAGTTTTGGTTTTAAGAGGTTAATTTCTTCCAAGTCATCTTTAAACTTCGGTGACTTAAATTCAGAGCTGCACTCAGAGTCTCGTTTTCGTCTTTCCTTCCCTCCTGGCAAACCAGAGACGCCGGCCCTGAGCACTCGCTCCAGCTCTCTTTCCTCTGATGGAGGAAGAGGAAGACACAGGAAAAAAGAGGAAGGCAGGAACCGAGGATTTCTGCAAAATAACATCACAAACAGCGAAGAGAACTGGGCTTTTCATCTTAAGCTCTCAAAGCTATTTATACTTGACATTATCTGCTATCTGCTGTCAGGCAAAATTGTACTTAATTTATAGAGAGAGCATTTTGACTTGCCCAAGTTTAGAATTTCACCTTTTAGGCATAAAAAACAACAACAATATATTGGTTTGTGAGAAGATCAGTCCCATTGTTTCTGATTTTTAATTAACTCTGAAGTGTTCATCAATCAAGGGTGTGTCAGAGGTCTGCTCTGGTCCCAGCCGGGCGGCGGTGGCATGGTTGGCCTGGCTGCCTGCATGGGAGTGACCGCATAGAGGGTGATTTGGAGGTTGTCAATGTGTTACTGAGCCCTAAGGGGCCGGCGACCTGCAAGTGGGTCCTTTTGCCCGGAGCCGCTGGCGCCAATAGAACGAGACTGGGTTTGGGTTTGGAATAGCAGAGTAGAAAGTTTATTCATTGATTAATGAATGGAGGAGGCAGAGCTCGTGCTCTAAAATAATTTTTCCCCAAAGGGAAAGTGAGCACAGTTCTTATGAGACGTGAAGGGGCAGGGTCTCCACGACATTGCTTGGGGCAGCGGCATTTGGCGCATGCTCAGATCTTCCCTTCGTGCGCACAGCACCTTTCGCATTTTTCCTTTTGCGCCTGGCACCCGATCGCCATCCTGGATTTTTCTGGCTTGGACCGATTCTGCTGTGTGGCCATCTGGCATCGTTCTGCCTTGGCTCCTCTAAGCAAACGCAGCTTAGAAACAAAGTATTGGACGTGGAGAGTGTTTTAGGAATGTCTCTGGGTGACAAGTGTACAACTATGAATGGTCAAGGCTGGCTGTCAGTCTAGCTCACTAGCATTCAATCGCATTGCAGATCCCTTATACCTTGGTGAAAGAAAGAGATGGCGACATTCCAGTTCTTGACGGCCCGAGTGAACACTCTCAATAGGATGTGTCATCTCCCTAGAGAGAACCTGAACCTATCAGGAAGATTAGGATCTATCAATCTGAGTGGATCTTTTCACAACTCAGGTTTTTAAAGAATACATTTTCCCATCTCTAGTGGTAACAGATGCCTAGGTTTCCCCCTTGGCCTCTGTCCCACACGTGGCTGGCTGGGATGGAGGCAGCATATGATGAAGTGGACTATAGTCTCTCACTGTCACTGCCCTCTTGGGTTTGGTGGCACTTTCTTATCCTTAATTTCTAGTTTCTTTAGGCAGAAGGAAAGAGAGAAGTGAATTAACATTCAGTGAATACTTATAATGCACCAGACACATTATGTTCATGATTTCACTTAATTTCACAGGTTGAATGTTACCCTAGAGCCCTGTTTTTTTTTGAAAATCCAAGGTAAGGAACATGGGGAATGATAAGTACAGAGCATAGGAGATAAGGGGACCGGAAAATTCTCTCTGTAGTGTGTAAGGGAGGAAGAATTATTCCTTTACCCTTTAGGTCCTCCTGGCAGGTCTCAGAATTAAGTTGACATTAGATGGAGTAACAGGAGAAAATAAAACAAAGCTTAAAACATGTATAGATAGGAGAAACCCAGGAAATCTGAATAACTTACCAAAATGGCTGAAGCCATTGCCTTAAATACCATCTCTTGCTAAAGACAAAGGAGGGTGTTGGGTGTAGTGGTTTGGGACTTCAAAGGGGCAGAAGGAAATTTACATAAAAAAAGAAAAGCAAATGTTTGATAAACAAATGTTGACCATGCATTGCAAAGATAATGAGAGATGGAGAGGACTTTGATTAAATCGCCCTTGTTAGGTTCCTCCCTGTCTATCACACCTAGTTTATATTATACTATAGTTATCTTATGATATTACCTCCTTGCTGGAACAGGCCTTCTGTCTTAAATTCCTTTAGGCAGTTAGGAAGAAGGTCAAAGTTTCTTTCAGAGTCTTTTGTTTTTTAAAAATAATCAAGCCAAGGAGACACATTTTGGGGTGGCAAATTCTGATCCCCCACAGTACCCTCCTCTATTCTCTCTACTCACAGGAGATAAAGTGCTGAAATGTGGCCAGATTCTAACACAGAGAGATTTCCACATTTAGGCACTTTCTGAGAATGCAAATGCTCATTTGCAGGTTTGTGAAATGACAGATTCTTATTATTTTGTGGACTATGTTACTGAATGACAGTAGCGTTTTGGATTTGTGCTGGGGCTCTGTAGAAACAGTTTAGTATCTTTGGTATAACTCACTGAGAGAGCGTTCCCAGCTCTTAGTTAACCATGTGTCTATGGTGCATAGCTGTTAGACCGTGAGGCCATGAGCAAGGCACCACTACCCACCTTGCAGGACAAGTGCCTTGGAGGGAATAAACTGCCTGGATACTCCAAATGTGTATGATGATGGCACTAATATAATAACTGTTTGTAGTATCAGCTTAATTTTGGCTCTTATTGCTTTAGTTTTGCTTTGGCTCATAAAAGTTATTGCTTGCTGACCATAATAGCTCAGAACTTAATACTATAATATCTTTTAGGACTAGAAGACATGTTTTGTGGTTCAGAGATCCCAGGAACAGAGCAAAGATGTGGCTTCTGAGGTTTGACCCTGACTGTTTCCTGTAGGTGGCCAGATGGTCTGTTCCACACGCTGAGTTGCTGGAAAGAACTTATACGAATTATTGCAGTTTACTTTGCATATATAAATACTTAGGTTTGTGCTTAATAATACACTTGATGCAAATATCCTATGAACACATTAACTGCTAAATCAGCCTTTCAGATAAGTTCAATGGGCTTGCCATCCCACAAACAGCTTTTACCAAGCTGCCCTTTCTCCAGACTATAAAGCCTGTATCACGGAGACAGTAAAACTGATTAGAAACAATTAACATTCTTTCCTATTGACTTTTCTTGAGCTTCTCTTGGTAATAGGTATGTAGAATGGTGACATATGAGACTTAGTCAATTTACCAGTGTTGACTGGGCATCTTTGCCATAAAGCTAAGTGTAGATGCCTGATCCAGCAGAGGAGGCAGATCTGATCCCTTCCCTCGACCACTAATCATCAAGTCAGGAGCTAAAAATAACACTCAAGAAGTAAGCATCAAAATTTTTGATGATATGTGTAAAGTATGTGACTAACCTCTGTCGTGGAGTATTTGAAAAGGTCATCATGGAGATAAAGAAATGAGCTGGGTCTTGAAGAAGGTGTAGAGTTTGTATTGCTAATAATAATTATTTATAATGGAGCACATTAGCATTTATAGTAAGCCCTTTTTATGATCCCCATACCATGTCTCTGAGATGAGATGGTGGAAGGAAAGAATAGAATTTGTTGAGTAAATATCCAAAGTGGACAAGATGACACCTGCACATGAGGTGGATTTCATTACAGAAGAGGAATCCTGAGCTTAGTGAACCCAAGTCTTTTATAATGGGCAGTAAGCCTTCTTGATTTTTGTTCCAAAGGGAAACTATCTTCAAGGCTGTTTATTATCCAAGTGTCCTTGAAAAGATAAATCTGGAACAAAGGGTAGTCTGTGCCTCTCTCACAAGACATGAAAACTTGTGAGAGACCCCTGGAGAATTGCCTCCCAACAACTTGTTCAAGGTTACCCAGCTAGTAAGCATCAGGGCTAGGATTAGAACCAAAGTAGCCAAGATAAATGTAATGATCTCACTTGTTCCCCGTCCCAGACATCAGACTTAAATTGTCCCAACACCTGGGACAACTCTTCCTATTTGGGATGTTTTCTGGTTAGGCTGGCTCATATAAGGCATCCTTCATCAATAAATTGGGCTCCTTCTTTGTCCCTTGGGGCCAAGCTCCAATCTTGGGCTCTATTCTTGGGGTGTTTCTTGCCTTGTTAGTCAGGGCTGAAGTGCTTAGTTGTCAACCCAGTTTCACAGTCCTAGGAATTCCACTGCCATATCCTGGGCCACTTTTGGCCAGCATCATGCCTGGATCTTTGTGTCTTCTACTGCAGGTGTGCCACTGTACTTGCTCCAGTTGCCACACTTGCAGAAGCTCCTTGATGCTGACCTGCCCACCAAGACCTTTATCTTGTCCCTCCCTCTACTATTCCAAGGCTGCTCCATAGGCCCAGTGGAACTTCAAATATATACTCCCGTGTGCTTGTCTGACCATGCTCAGTGTGTTTTGTTTCTGGGTCATTGTCTAGTTGCTTATTTGATTTCGTTCTAGTGGGAGAAGGAGGCGGTGATGGGGAGATCAAGGATGAACAGCATAAGCAGAGTACTGCACGGGGATGAGTATAGTGGACCAGCCAGGAGGCCAGTCTGATTAGAGCCAAGGAGAAGACTGGCACAGAAGACACTCTGAGTGGCAGGCTGAAGAATACCAGTGGAACACCATGACTGAATCATAGAACATCATGCGACTTCATGGTGGTGTGCACAGACTGATGGAGAGAACGTGGATTTTGGAATCAGACAGAACTGGGTTTGAATCCTGGATCTGCTACGTACTAGTGTGTGACCTTGGAACTTCTGCTCTGTGTCTCAGGGTTTCTCATCTAGAAATGGTGGCAATAGTACCTCCCTTGTGGGGCTGTGATGGACATTGTTGATGATACAGATACAAAATCTAGCGCAGTGGCTTCAAATTTTAAATGCTCAATAAATGGTAGCTGTTATACATTTATCATTATGGGATGTTTGCCCCAGAAGAGGCCTTGGAGCTTATTTAATCTAAGCCCCTTATTCTAGACGTGAGAAAAACGAAGCACAGAGCAGTCAGCAAAGTCATCTGTTTGCCCAACCTTGCCAGCTAGTGACAGAATCTTACTCATTGGACACTTACTATTTATCAAAAAGTGCTTGGTAGTGTACAGTCAGACACGTGTTAGCTGGTGACTTTGCTGCAAGGAGTCAGGAGCACCCTCTGGAGACACAGACTAGGAGTCTAATTCTCGCTTACTCTGTGCTGGGGGAACTTTCCTATTTAGCCAGAGACTAGATGTAAACCAGTAAAGCGCTCCCGTGACGTAGCTACCACCTTTCTTCTATTCCCCAAGCCTCCCTCACTCTTTGCTGCCACTTAGGGCCACTTCATCCAGCAAATTCCTACTCATCCTGTAGGTTTTGACTTAAGTGCCATTTTCTCAATGAAATCTTCCCAGATCCTCCCAGCAAGGTGAGGTTGTCTGCCATATGCTCCTGTATCACCCTGTGCTTCTCTCTACAGTGTTCCTTGAGCTCCTTATGACATCATCAGTACCCATCTTTCCTGCTAGGTAACCTCTGTAAGAGCAGCAGTTGGCTGATCTTATTCTCTGGGGCACCCCTAGAGCCTGGCAAAGAGTAGATGCTTAATGAATTTGGTTAAATGATTAAATAAGATCTACTAAATGCAATAGTTGTTCCAGAATTTTGGAGTTGCTGCTTGGAATGTAAAAAATACTCTAAAGATGAGAAGATAGCCTCAGAATAAAGGAAAGTTCTTCCCAAGAACGGCAATTAGAAAAGTTATACTGATATGTACATATTTATGTAATATGCATCATACCTACACAGACACAAGTGTATTGCATTACCCTTATTTTTCTCATTTCGCTTTGCAGCGACACTTCATCAGGGACTTACTTGGCCCAAGGACTGGCATTTGGAAACTGCTATGCTAAAAGTCATAGCCATTAATTAACTGTAGCAATTGCTATTACTCCACATTGCTGAGGAAAGCAAATTTCAGAGTCCCAAAGGTTCTCATGAAAAATGTACCAAATGTACATCCATCTTTTATTTCCTCTTGGTCCGGTTTTCACCCCTAGTTCTACTTTTTTTTTTTTAATGAAAACCCTACCTCATCATGATGGCTCATTTAGTTCCCAGGGCATACTGTCCAGGCAAAGGAGGGAGCAGCACGTGCAGAAAAGGACCATTCCTCTGGGAAGTGTCATTTAGCCAAACTGGAGCATGACTCCTTATAGTGGGACCCGGGGACACCATGTACAGTTGTGCAGACTGCACCCTGCCCAGGGTCCCCAGCTGAGAGGAGTGGGCTCTCTCACCAAGCTATGCATCCAGATGGGGACTGCCTCTGCAAGGAGGATAAGGTCACATGTTTCTAAGTCACACAAAGGAGAAAGGGCTGGAGGTGGTGGCGATTCAATGAGTCCATAGAGTGTGTTGGTTTAGAGAACGTGGGCTTTGCAGTCAGAGAGAATAGGTTTGGATCTCTGCGCCACCACTTACTATGTGACCTTGGGCAAGTTTGTAAGCCTCAGTTTCCTCGACTGTAAAACAAGAATAGCACAATATTTATTTCATAAGGTTGTTGGGAGGATTCAATGAGATAATGTAGGCAGAAGGCTCAGCAGAGTGGCAGGGCCGTATTTAGTCTTCATCATGCTGCCGATGTTGATCATTGATGGTGCCATGACGCCTGTGGCCATCCTCTGCTTAGAGACAGAGAACTCACACGCCCTTTGCTCTCCTCTCCTTACCTCACTGCCTTGGCCCAACTTGTGGTTTCCCTTAATGTGCCCACCATTCTTGTTTACTAAAATCACAAATCCAAATACCACCCTAGACCTCTCTCTCTTCTTCTCCCTCAACTCCAATATCTAAGCGGTCACTAAAGTCTATCAATTCTACCAGCTCCATCTCCATTTCACCGCTATTGCCCCTGCTACTTGGTCCAGAACAGTGTAATTCCTCTCTTGGACAACAGCAGCGGCTTCCAGGCTGGCTCCCATCCCCAATCTTTCAGAAATGCAATTCTGATTGCATGTATTCTCTTGCTTACGATTATCTCTGTTTGCCTGCAGATAAAGACCAAAGTTCTTTGGGAGTCATTATGGTTCTGCAAGACCTGGCCTGCCCCCTCACTGCTCCTACCTCAATTCCTGTGTTCCAGAGACACGACACGCTCTATGAACTCTCAACAGCTTTATTGTCTCTGTGCTTTAGACATGTTGCTCTCCCTTCCTGGAATGCTGTTAATAATGGTGATGATGAAGTGGAGGAGGATGATAATAAGGATAACAGCCTCCATGTATTGGGAGTTTACAGCATACCGTTTTTGGTGCTTAGTGTTCACATTCATAATCTGACTTTCCCCAACCTCGGTCCCCTGGTGAACTCATCAAATATGATTATGATATTTTAAAATATATCTCTGTATTTATTCACATGAGTGCTTCACTTGTAGTCCAGAGGGCGTGACTTTGCCTGTCTCTTACCTACAGGGGGAGCCTGTGTTGACGTGTATGGTAGCTGGAGCTGCACCTCCTACTCTTTATTTCCCCCTCTTTTAAATAGTCTTGAATTTATAGAGAAGTTTTAGGTTCACAGCAAAATTGAATGGAAAGCCCAAAGAGTTCCCTCATACTTTCTACCTCCCCCTCGCAGCCTCACCCAGTATCCCCCGAGTGGTCCATTTATTACAATTGATGATGAACCAACATTGATATGTCATCACCACCCAAAGTCCATAGTTCACCTTAGGGTTCATTCTTGGTGTTGCACGTTCTATGAGTTTTGACAAAGATATGATAACACTTATCCACCATTGTAGGATTATGCAGTACAGTTTCACTGCCCTAAAAATCCTCTGTGTTCCACCTATTCATCCTTCCCACCCGTCAACCCCTGGCAACCACTGATCTTTTGACTGTCACCATAATTTTGGCCAGAACGTCATATAGTTGAATCATACAGTATGTAGCATTTTCAGACTGGCTTCTTTCATTTCGTAATATGTCTTAAGTTTCCTTCATGTCTCTTCACGGCCTGATAGCTCATTTCTTTCTGCACTGAATAATATTCCATTGTCTGGATGCACCACAGTTTGTTTGTCTGCTCACTTCCTGAAGGACATCTTGGTTGCTTCCAAGTTCTGGCAGTTACAAATAAAGCAGCCATAAACATCCGTGTGCAGGTTTCTGTGTGGACACACTTTCCAACTGCTTTGTGTAAATACCAAGGAACATGATTGCTGGGTCATTTGGTAACAGTATATTTAGTTTTGTAATGAACTGCCAAAATGTCATCCAAAGTGGCCGTACCATTTTGCATTCCCATCAGTAAATGAATGAGAGTTCCTGTTATTTCACGTCCTCACTAGCATTTGGTGTTGTCAGTGTTCTGGATTTGGCCATTCTAATTGGTGTGTAGTTGTATCTCATTGTTATTTTAATGTGCAATTCCTTAATGATAAATGATGTTGAGCATCTTTTCACATGCTTCGTTTCCATCTGCGTATTTTCTTTGGTGAGGTGTCTGATCAGATCTTTTGGCCACTTTTTAATCTGGTTGTTTCTTATTGTTGAATTTTAAGCATTCTTTGTATATTTTGGATGACAATCCTTTATCAGATGTGTCTTTTGCAAATATTTTCTCCCAGTCTTTGGCTTATCGTCTCATTCTCTTGAGCTCCTACTCATCTTTAAAGCACAGCTCAGAGCTCACCTTCTGTGACACTGGGCCTGTCTCTTCCTCTCCCCAGCAGTTGAGCTCTGTTGACTTTGTGCTGTCGCTGTACCTTTCACAAACATCCATCGTATTGTAAATATTTACCCACCAGACTGTGAGATTCTTGGGAAGAGGGTCATGCCACTCGTTTTTGCATTTCCAGAAAAAAGCACAGTGTCTGGTACCAATTAGGTACCCAATGCATGTGTGTTGAATGAACTGAGGTGTAAAATGAGGACATGTGAACAGGATTCCCATGACTCCGTCCTAAGCACAGAGTGAGTTTTTCTTCAGCAGAGGTAGTGAGAAACATGCCCTGCGAATGGCATTCTGGTCTTGGCCACATTACCTCTTCACCTCGACACAGGTATTTTTGCCAGATTGTGGATGCAAGCCATCCAATCCCCACCAGAGAAGCCACAAGAAGCTGAATGCTCCCCTACTCATGACAAGGATGTCTGTAAGGGGCTTGCTGGTGGCCCAGTGGTTAAGTTCGCACAATCTCCTTCTGCGGCCTGGGGCTCAATGATTTTGGATCCTGGGTGCGGACCTATGCACAGCTCATCGAACCGTGCTGTGGCGACATTCCACATAGAAGAACTAGAATGACCTACAACTAGGATATACAACTATGTGCTGGGGCTTTGGGGAGAAAAAAAAGAAAAGACGAAGATTGGCAACAGATGTTAGTCAGGGCCAATCTTCCTCACCAAATAAAAGAAAGCATACTTAAACCAAAAAAAAAAAAATCTGTAAAATGTCCCTAGGCTCTCCATGGACAGGGAACCTGTTCATTGCTGGCAGGCAATCTTTCAGAGACTGTACCCCAACTCAGCTCTTCCTGTTCCTTTCTCCGTGTCTGCGTATCTAGAACCTTCACTTTGAAGGCATATTTTACTCTTCTGTCTGCCTCTTCTGGTTTCCTGAACTGAGCTGTACTCGCAAGAATATGTGCGTGCCTAGGTGGCGAAATTCCTTCTGCATTCTTTCATGGGTCAGAGTGTTGCAAACTTTAAATCAAAACCCTTTCCTTACTCTTCTCCCTCTGCCTCAGCTTTCCTTCTGCTTTTTCTTCCTATCTTTGCCTCTCTTCCCTTTGGCTAGCAGTGTTTTTGTAAAATCCTCCCTCCCTGACCCATCTAATTTTTAGCATTTAGCTCCGAATACATTCCATTCTGTTTCAGGACACTTTTCCCTCAATAGGGCTTCTATTGGGACCAGACTCTACATCCAGAGTTGGGTTAAGCCCTAGGGGGATGCAGTTGGGAGAAGAAAGAACTTTCACATGATTTACAGGCTTGTGACTACTTGGCTTAATAGATGTGAATGCTGAGACATTCAGATGAAAAGTCAGGAAAAATCCTGTAAAAGATCCCCAGATGTTTTGTCTACAAGACTTCAGGCCTTTGAAGTTAGGCAGGAAAAACATGTGGATTCTTGACTGAATTTCGCAATTTTCACAGGGTGTTTTAGGGCTATTTAGATAATAGGCATTATTCGCATCTTGGATCAATTTAGGTAATTTAAAACGTTGCTGAAGTATTACATGCCTGTTGTAAAAAATTCAAATAATATTGAAGTCTACAGGTTAGAATCTTAAATGCCCTTTTACTCTCCCTCTAATTTTACTGTTTGCTAAAATGAATTCACAGATCAAATATGTATGCTTTGGGACCTTTTGTCTGTGTGTTGGCGTACACTCATAGTTCCATTATTATTTTTTATGTAAATGGTGTAGAGAAGGAAGACAATTCCTCTACCCACTCTAGGTCCTTCTGGCTGGCTTATGAATTAAATTGACATGGAACAGAATAAGAGGAGAAAATCCAACAAAGCTTTATAACATGTATACATGGCAGAAACCCAGGAAAACTGGGTAACTCACCAGAACGGCAGAGGTGCCAGCTTAAATATCATCTTCAGCTAAAGACAGGGCAGGGTTTTGGGGGTAATAGTTTGGGACTTTAAAGAGGAGGAGGGCAATTCACATGGACGTGGACAAGCAAATGTTTGGTAAAGTGAACTTTGATAAGAATGGGCTTAGCAAGGACCCTTGAAGTCTACCAATACCCAGAGTTGTCTGTGGTTATCTTAAATTTCTCTTAGGCAGTTGTGGGGAGGTCAAAGTTTCTGTCAGAGTCTTCCGTTCTTGAAAATAATCCAGGCAAAGAGATACATTTTGGGGTGGCCAATTCTGACCCCCCACCATGGTCATTTCATACTACTCATTCTGTGCTGCTCATTTCCTCAATGAACCAGTAAACCCTGGAAATCGTTCATGTCATACATACAGAACGACTTCACTCTATTTTGATCTGTATAGGGTTCTGTATCATGGGTATGCTGATATCTAACCACTTCCCCAGAGAGGGATGTTTGGGTTGTTTCTTTTCTTTTTTTCCTTTCCTTTCTTTTTCTACGTTAAACGAAAAAAGCAGAAAATATCCTTACACATGTTTTTCCCTGTGTGTGTATTTCTGTTGGATGTTGTCAAGCTTTACAAATTTTTGCTGATTCCAAGTGAGATTGAACATTCTCTTTTATTTTTGGCAGTTTGTTTTCCTTTACTTCAAATTGTCTGTTAATTTGCTTTGTTTACTGTTCTTAAGAGTTATATGTATTATTCATTTTAGGGGGCCTTTCCTCAACATTTTATTATGAAAATTTTCAAGCATACAGAAAAGTTGAAGAAATTGTATAGTAAACATCTATATACCTACCTTCTAGAACTGATAATTAATGTTTTGCTATATTTACTTTATCAGATATGTTTCCATCTATCTATCCCTTTATTTGTTTATCAATCTACCGTTTGTACATTTCAAAGTAAGTTACAGATATCAGTACACTAAATCCTTCTGATGGTTATAACAGAATTTAATATTTGTTTACGGTCCTTTTTATTTTTTTAGGTAAAATTTACATACAGCAAAATACAAAAATCTAGAGGGTAAAATTCAATGTAGAAAGCTTTTTATATATTGAGAGTAGTAATCTTTCCCATTTTATATATATGGCAAGTATTTTCTCCAAATCTGCCTCTGACTTTTTAACTTTGTTATAATATCTTTCACATTTAGAAATGGAAAATTTGCATAATCAATTTATCAATCCATTTTCTTTATGCATTCTAGGTTTTGTATCTTACTTAGGAAGACTTTTCCCATCCTAATATTATTTTTTAAAATTCCATCTTTTTCTCATTGCTTTTGTAGTTCTATTTTAATTTTTAAAATCCATGTTAAATTATACTTTTGCATAGGGTGGGATATAACCTAATTTTTGCAATGGGAAACCAATTGTCCCAAAGCCAAATGCTCTTTTTAGAATTATCTCCTGCAGTCTTTGACTGGCAGCTCTCTCTAAAACTGAGAAGAAATTGGAAGAGTGAAGAGAGGAGAAGGCAGGGAAGCAGGGACGGAGACAGGATGAGATTTTTAGAGTAAAGATTCTAGAGGTCTCCTTAAAATTTGTCTTCAACCATTGAATAAAGTTATTCCTGGCATAAAAGAGTGAAAATGCAAGTTTAGTTTTCAACAGTGTCTACCAAATAGTATTATTTTCTCACTTAACATGGTGAGATGATTCAGAGTTTGAGAATTATATAACAAAGTTTCTGTGTCTTTTCAGTGGAACTTATCTGTGAAGAAGTCGGAGTCAAGCTATGAAGCTCGTAAGATATAAACTGCAGCGTTACTGACTGGTGAGTCCGTAGACATGTGAAATGAGAGAGAGAAAGACAGCGGCCCAGAGCAGACAAATGGAGGATCTGATCTACACTCTGCTGATTACTTTGAGGTAGAGACAATGCAGCCTTTGGGAAGGGAGTATGATCTATGGTAAGCGTTGCCCTTTGAGAAATGAGGGAGCAAAAGAAATGTGGATAGTAGTTCTTTTGAGAACACATCTACAATACTTCCTTAGTCTTGGAGATGTTACTGCTGTGTCAGAAGACAATCAGTTGGACTGCACCAGAGAAAAGAAGAAATTCCGTGTAAGGATATGTTAAGATAATATATTCAAAAGCATTTTATAAAATGCACTGTGCATCATAAAGGCAAATTCTGTTATTATCATGATATAAGGAAAGAAGAAGAAAGTATATGGTTTTTTTTTTGCCTCTATGATAAACACTTGCAGGTGTCAAGAGAATTATATGTAGGAGTTCACATGTATCATGTTTTTCTCCAAACACAATATCCAGTTATTCAAGATTGCCTCAGAAAATAGTATTGTACCATAGGACTTAGCCATTCCACACCAAGAGAAATGAAGGGATATATTC